ATTATTACATTATATTAAAATGCATTATATTGGATACATTTCTAAATGCAAATATATTTGCACTGTCAGCAAAACAACAAGAGCCATCTAGGATAAGCTGCTGGGCACTGTATTAACAACATTGATTTACACATGGAAAATGCACAAATTGATGGGGCATTGTACATTGTAACTAAAATGCCAATAAAATATAATACAATGTAAAATAATTGCGTTTGTCCTCAGCTGAGTTCATTGTTAGACTCCAGGTTGAACTGGGGGAGGGGGAGAAGACAGTTGTTTTCTAATTTCTCTTGGAATCATATACAGTAAAAACTCAGAGTTACAAACACCTCAGGAATGATAGTGGTTTGTAACTCTGCAATGTTTGTAACACTGAACAAATCATTATGGTTGTTCTTTCACAAGTTTACAATTTCACGTGGACTTAATACAGTTTTGCAATGCAATCCAATAGACTCATAGACTTTAAGGTCAGAAGGGACCATTATGATCATCTAGTCTGACCCCCTACACAATTCAGGTACAGAATCTCACCCACCCACTCTTGGAATAATCCTCTCACCTATATCTCAGCTATTGAAGCCTTCAAATAGTTTAAAGACCCCAAGATGCAGAGAATCCTCCAGCTGTGATCTGTACCCCATGCTACAGAGGAAGGAGAAAAACCTCCAGGGCCTCTGCCAATCTACCCTGGAGGAAAATACAGCTATGCAAAATAAAAACACTGCTTGTAACTATCTTTATTAAATGAAACAAGCACAGGAAGTTTCCTTGCCCTGCCAATCCTTTTATACGCCTTCCCTTTATTTTTTAACAGAGAACTGTATTTGGGGTGGTTTGTTTTGTTTTGTTGGGGGATTGTCTCTGCTGCGCCCGATTAAAGGTTAGTTCCAAATGAGGTGTGTGGTTGACTGGGTCAATTCACAACTCTGGTTTTCAAAATTCTGAGGCTCTGCTATATGTGATATTGACATGGTTTTGTTTTTCTGGATTGTAACCTTATCTTTAGTGAGTCTGCATTTATTCCAAGTTTTTTCAAGACAAATAATGATGGGATCATTAATTCCCTGAGTGCTGATCCTCCCTGCACACTACAATGAGTTCTGTCAGCATTTCTAAAAGCGGCCCCTAATTTCTGATGGTGAGCACACACACACACAAAGAACTCAATAGCAGTGTAGACGCAAGTATTGTTTTTCTGGAAAAACAGATATTTTTCCAGAAAAATGCTTCAGTGTAGACACACCCTCAGTCTCATGTCATAGCCATTCCTCATTTGAGAGATGCTCCAAAGCGGCCAGTGATGTTCAGAAGAGAAAAGACTGGAATTAGAAAATAAAGACTAGCTCCATATTTTAACTTCATCAGGCTGCTGGAGCATTACTATGGATACAGAAGATGTGGGACCTACCTGAGCCTTCAGACTTTGCTGGGAGAAGGAGTAACACCAGAATAGCAAATACTAGTATTTCTTTCTATTTTGTGAAACTACTGAAGTTGTATAATCACAATAAATAACCTGGAAATAAGCAGGTGGGGACAAGCAATGCCACATATCGGATGGCATCCTTGCAGCCACATTCTGTAGTGTGGGACTTGCCCACACAAGGAACACTGGCCGACCAGCACAACCGGTTTCAGGAGCAGCGAGCGCTGGTCTAGCACCAGTGATTAGAAAACATTCTGATCCCCCAGCACTGCTCCTCTGCATCTGGCAGCCACAACCCTCTGAACCGCCATGCTCCTGCACCCAGCAGCAGCCCCCAGGCTTACCCCCCACGACCCAAAGCCAGCTCCCATGGTTCATTACATAGTAAAGGAGATGTCTGCTATGACCTATGTCTGTAATTAGCCTCTCCGCCTGAGACCCACAGAGACGGGGACTTCCACTAGCACAGGGGTGGGCAAGAAACAGCCTGTGGGCCAGATCCGTCCCGCAAAGCCTATAAATCTGTCCCACCCTGCTGGGATCCTCAGATAGGAAACAGCCCTAAGCCGTTCAAAGCAGCTGTCGGTGCCATGTGCCTCTCTGTGCTGCACACTGGGGGAAGCGGGGGCAGGAGAGGCATCACACACTGACTTCACCCCAGCTCAATCGCTCAGCTGCCAGAACCACCCAATGGGAGTTGAGAGATTGTGCTGGGGGTGAAGTCAGTGCATGTGGCACAGAGTGGCACATGGAGCAGCCAGCCACTTTGAGGATAGGCAGGGAGTCTACTGGAGGGTCCCGCTTGGCTGCTAGCTGGGGGCTGCCTGGGGGAGCGCCTCCTGGCCAAAGCCTGCATCTGGTACCCCACCCCCTCCCACAACCCAGCTCCCTGCCCCAGGTCACAACTTCCTCCCAGACCCTACACCCCTCCCCCAGGCCAGAATCCTCTTCTGCACTCATACCCCCTCCTGGACCCTGCACTCCAGTCCCCTGCCCCAAGTCACAGCCCCCTCTTTTACCCAAACTCCCTCTCGGACCTCACACCCTCTCCTGCACCCCAATTCCCTACCCCAAGATTCTTTCTGAGCCGAACCTCCATCCCAGACCCCACAACTTCTCCATAGAAAAGTGTGTTCCTTGACCACTTACCAAAATCTTGGTAACGGACGCTAGTTCGAATTAACTTTAATAGGTGCTACATTAGCGCTCCGCTACTTCGAACTTAATTCGAACTAGCGGAGCACTTAGTTCGAACTAGGAAAACCTCATTTTACGAGGATTAAGCCTAGTCCGAACTAGCTAGTTAGAATTAAGGGCTGTGTAGCCCCTTAATTCGAACTAGTGGGAGGCTAGCCCTCCCCAGGTTTCCCTGGTGGCCACTCTGGCCAACACTAGGGAAACTCTACTGCCCCCCTCCCGGCCCCGGACCCCTTAAAGGGGCACGGGCTAGCTACGGTGCCCGTGCCAGGTGCAAGCCTGCCAGCACCCAGCCAGCATACCCTGCACCTGGCACGGCTTGAGCCAACCCACCGCTGCCC